TCACAGAGGAACCGGCTGCGTGGCTGTGTAAACCTTGTTGTCCTAGGAAGCCAGCTGAAAGTGTTAAAAAAGACTGAGTGTGGCTGTAAGGGTTTGTAAGATGAGGCGCGAAGGGTTAGGTGTGTGGTGATACATTATGGTAGGCTGAGGAGGCGGGGGGGGAAAAGGCAGAATGAGTGACAAACCTGGCTGTACTCCCAACGGGAATTTTAAAGCAGAGAATTCCTGGCTGAGACTTAAACAACATTTGTACTATACCTCTTACCGGAGGCTGGACCCACGGTCACGGTTATGAAAGGCAGCTACATTTTTCAAGCTATTGCTCTGGGATTAAATATCATCTGGTTTTCTGTCCTCTTACAAAACATGAAAAGACAATATTCTTGCAAGAACTTACTTTGGCTGGAAAAAAAAAATTAGCGTTTCACTCCACACTAAAATAATGTAAATTCTTGTTCTAGGAAATCTCCCCCAAGAGCAGAGTTTTACAAAGTTTTTTCAGTCAGAATGAGCAAGGGTGACTGGAACTCTAGACAATTGCTTATTTATTTAAAAAAAGTTCCAGCTGATACAGGTATTAGATGCTCCATCCAGCTTTGCTGTCAGTTCTCTGGTTTTATAATCATGTGGACCTATTTTAAAGTGTTTTCTTTCATGCTTTCCTGCATCAAATGAATATTCAAAATTAATAGTCAAAACAAGCAATATTAAAAACTTAGCTGGATGGGATCCTGAGCAACCTGCTCCAGCTGGACGTGCTTCACGTAGTAAGTTGTACTCGAGACCTCTGGAGGTTTCTTCCACCCTGTGTTATTCTGTGTGTAAGCCTCACTGAAGAAAGACAGGAAATAGGGCACCTGATTTGAAGTAATAAATAATGAAGCTAACCTGACAAGGTGCTGTCAAGTGCAGTTAAATAGGGGGTTTTTTTGTAATACCTTTGCTGTTCCTAAAAAAAGAATTACAAAAAGTTTTGACTTCTCATACATCCATTCATATAATACTGTTTTGTACCTGAATCCATGATCCATTTTTCGGATGTGAATAATAGCTTTTTTCACTGAGCTAATGATATTAGGCAATTTAGTGTATTTTATCAGTTCTCTTAACTATCCATCTAGTTAAGACATATTTTGAGTCAAATTGTTACCCAGATTTTGGGTCAAAATATTCCACTTCTACATGCAAATGGCTGTTGCATGGGCTTTTGGGTTGATCTGCTCACATCCTGTGACAAAATCTTAGGCATTGATGACTAAGACTTTTTAAGATTTTAGAGCGTTTTGCAGCTAATGAGTTGGGAATCTTACCGCCTTACCACAGACTTGAAAAGCTCAGTCTCCTCTACTCTGCATTTCCAGAAATTGAGCTACATATTCTGTTCTTTCACAAAGACCAAACAAGCCTTCGTATTAGTTGACTACGATTTGTTTTACAGGCTTTACTTATCCCCCAGCCCTTCAGTTAGAATATATTTAGGCTCTGCTTTTTAAAATAATTCTACGGTTATCAGGCGAAACCAATTGTATAGGGCATGAAAAGGATGTAAAGTTAGGAATTACAGAAAACTTTCTGCACAAGGCGAGTTAAGCACTGTAACAAATTGCATAAGATGTTGAAGAATCTCTTTCATTAGAGGTTTTAAAGCACAAATATCTGTTATGAAAAATGGATAGTAAACGTGTAGAAAGTGAATAAAGCTGAGCCAGGATTGAGGACTACAGACTCTGAAGATCCTACCAGGACCTGTTTTGTCTGAGTGTATTACTTTCTATTTTTTTCTTGTCTCCTTTTGATACCCTTTTTATTCTGTAGCCTCTTACTTGCCATGCCTTTCTGTCAACACTCAAGCCTTTCCTTTTTCTGTCATCTTGATCTCTGTTATTTTTCCTTACTTCTGAAGGTACACACAAAACAACATGAACAGTTTTGTACAGTATTGCTGATGCTATTTATTGACTAAATGATTGTCCTACAACTCAATGAAAATAAACCAATAATGTTTCATGTAAATTTTCACTTGCAACTTGCAAGTCGCTTAAGCAACTGAAGTTAGCAAACTATAAATTGGTGTGGTAGGGATTGAATTCCGTCTTTTACCTAGTATTAAATAGCTCAACTTTTGAAATCTTGTTGGAAAAATACCTCGTTTTTGTGAAGTGTGCTCTAAGTGTTTCGATTAAATGATGTCTGTCAGAAATAAAAGACTCCTCTGTCACTGTTGTCATTATGAAACAATCTGCCATTCTTTCTGTGTCATTATTTGCGTTCCACAGAACGAATAATCTCATTAAAACTACCAGGAAGGAGTAAGGGCAGGGAGCTATGAAGAAGGGCAGGGGAGTCTTATTTTATTGGTTCTGTATGCTGGTATATTGTTTGCTATTTTTGCGCTTGTATGTGAGCATTCACTATTACACCTAGTCATGCGAAGGGAGTCAGATTATTTGGATGACACAGTGCTTCACAATGGAAATTAGGGCTGCATAGCCTGTGCCTTTAATCAAAGGCGTGTGTGAGCATAGAGGATTCAGCTGTGGACAATAGGCCTGAGTTTATTTCATTATAACACAAACAGGTATGATCCTGTAAGGGACCAGCATTCATACACTTGCGCCTGAGGGGATGCAGAAGCAGGCTGGTACTTTGCAGGGCAAGGCCAAAGCAGAAAATACGCGTTGCCCTCTGCAAATGATAGGCCAGGAAATCTTTCTGTGGTTCATGCCAAGATTACAAATTAGGGTCAATGAAATGCACGTGTCGTGTGCTAACTAATGTGCAAAATTGCAGTTAGCTCAGACTTGATATATCTGTTGTCCAAATAGAATGGGATCATTACAGACAAAATAGTCCATTGAAACACACATAATTTGTTTTACACTGTTTTAAGATCATGAACAGTGTGTCAAAGGAGAAGCTACAATGAATATTGCTATCACTAGCTAAGAAACTTAATAGAGCTGCAGCAACTGTAATGCTTTTGGTGCAAATATTTATCCAAGGCATATTTAAATATTTATCCAAGGCATATTTAAGTGTTTATCGAGGAAGCATCGGTCTATATTTCTTTAGTCAAGCTCTTCTGGTTTTCCCACTAAAGTGAATAAAATCTGTATTCTACTCTGGTGAGGCTGTATATAGAGAGAGTTAAATTGTGCTCTTATAGGGCTTGTGAAAAGGAATGTGAAAACTGTCTGCAGAGGAGTTCAAAATGTATTATTTTTCTTTTTTTTAATGCCTTCCTGTGTTTCTATGAATCACAAAGGCTGGCAAATATTGACTGTAAAGTTCTTACCTCAACAAATGCCAGCACATACTCGTGTAAGTTCAATAACAGTATGGACTTACTTTTCTCTGAATGATGCAGTGAGATTGAATGGCAGCTTGCCATACGCAGAAGTTCATTCTAAGCCAGGAGGAACAGTTTCGTGGTTTGAGGTCGTGACTGAAATATCTAGACTTTCTGGAACCACAGATGTGACTTCTCCCAGGGCTGACTGTCCTTCATAATTTTTAAAGCACTGTACGTAAACTGAATACCATGCAGTTCACTGCACTAATGTTAAGTCTCCGTGGAGACAATAAACCCGTAACATATTTCATACAAAATTTGGAAGCTTACTTTGGGGATAAAAAGATCTCCATTTTTTTCCTGTTGTTTTACAGTGTTCCAATCTATTGTATTTCTAGTCTGCATTTCAGAGGTGGTATGTCATATATGTACCTGTAGGTTAGTAATCGTGGGGCCTTTAAATAAAACAATTTACATAAATAACTTTAAATTTTCATTGTGGAACTGTGCATGAAGGATTTGCAAACACCAAGCAAGAGAAAAGTCAGCATAAGTTTGCCCATTTATTAGCGTGGAAACAGAGGCAGACACAGGAGTGGTGGCCTTGCTACAGCTGACTAGCTAGTCAGCCTCATGCCCTAATACAGCTTTGGTCTGCCTGCTTATTCAAAACATCCATCTCTTAACTCATCTGATAAAGCCTCAGGTGTTCTTTGTCTTTAGCATACATTTGCATCTTAAAAGTCGTAACATTTAATGGCCTTTGCTTTCAATGTAGCCTCTTCTGAGCCACATCATGATAATTTTATTAATATATCCATTAAATTTGCCATTGTTTTAGGAGCAGCTGTAACTATCCAATGAAACATGCAAGGACAGCTGTTGTAGTTTTGTTCTCAGACCTGTGACAACTTCTGATACTGGGAAGCATAGACAAATGGTTAAATAATGAACGTCTGCTGTGGCTAAACTTTCTGGCTTAAAGTCTTAACGGAGTGCAATGAAGGCAAAAAAGATGCTGTGCATAGCTCTTACTTTGTTTTCCGAGTTTTCAAGTAAACGGCAGGAGATGCATAGTGGAGTCTTTGGAATCAAAAAGAACCCAGTAAGACAATGCTGAAGCACATAGGAGGTTAGTAGAGAAAACCATATTCACCTTTACAAGTATCATACAGGAGCACATTATTCATTTAAAGGAGATTGACTTCTTTGTAGTAATAACATGTAAGAAAGCAGAGGGTGCATATCTCCTTCCAGACAGATGTGGATTGTAAGCAAGGAAAATACAGTGGAAGACATAATGAATTAAAATTAAACAATCAGTTTTTAAGCAAGAGACTGAGAGACGGTATCTTAGCTAGGCTATAGTTTAATGTGTACATGTGCTTTCAGCTTTCCTTAAGCCACAGTGGGATCACTGGTAGCCACAAGCAAAGCAGCCACATGGACAAGGAAAAGACAGGCGAGGGAAACTGACAGTATCACAAACTGTTTACTGTGCATAGTCCAGGGCTGACGCAGGGGGATGACAGGCAGAGAGGGGAGAGAGGAGAGCGGCAGATGTTATGGAACAGTTCATTGATCTGCTTCCCCTTATTTTAAACATTAGCTTTCCAAAGCTGTTGGGGTCGATGTAGTTTGAGAGTTAGCATGACTAGGCCGCTTAAGCAAAACAGTTAGCATAGCATAGGCCGCTGGAAAGGACAGCTAAGAATAAACATGATGTGGGTTAGCAAAAACAAGATGTGTTCAAGGACGTGGAGGCGGTCTGTTGCTATTGGTGTTAGTGCAGAGTTGCCAATCATAAGGGAATATGGGGTGCGTGAACAGTGCATGATTTATGTCTGTAGCCTATCCGAATAAGCGTGATCGCGTGTACAGATACGAAAAATGTATATAACCACGCAAGCAGAGCAATAAATGAGGAATCGGCTGTGCATTGCGTCAATGTGTGAGAGTCATTCCTGTCCGTGCATGGATGCTGAAACTCGGCATAAAGCAAACATTCCATAGGGAAAAACATACTCTGCTTAGACTGACAGAAGGTAAAAAGATTATCTAGTCATCTGGAGAGCAGCCAATTTCATAAGAGACTAGGAAATGTGCTCTGCCTTTTCTGGTGATGGATTTCATTTAAAACCACAATGTCATGCAATGTGTCATTATGTAATTGCCTGACAAAAACTATCAGATATGGGCACTCTTGTTATTTTTGTGTATATGTATCTACCACTCAGTTTCACTATCAGTATAAACATATGTATGGCACTTGTCTTTTTCTTCCCCCCCCGCCCCCCAACATGTACAACTGCCCTAGTAGAGATTATACTTGTGGCCTGTCAGCTGCTCATTTTGAATTGGGGGAAAAGTTAGCAGGATCACTGCAGAGGTAAAGAGTCTTTCTCAAACCACAGCAGAACTGCCTCTGCAACATCCTTTTGTTTCATTACCCTTACCTTGGCTCTCACTTCTGCTTTTTCAGGTTTTGTGCTATATTTTCAAGGCTGCACTATGTGTGTTTGTGATGGAGTTCTCTTATACTTTGTATTTGGCTATGATTGTGACAGAGGCACAGTCCACGTTAAAAACCACAAAGTAATACCGATGAATTAAATAATGGGATTCTAAAGATGTGCACCAGTCTGGGTTTAATCATCATACTCAAAAAATTTAACATGTAGTCTTACCACAGGAATCCACTTGAGAAACTATTTGGGTTCTTGCCTTTAAGTGGAAAGAAAGTGAAGCTAACTCAAACCTGTCCATTTCAGATCTTGAGGGTATTTCAAAGGAAGGCTGCCATCTTCATGTCCACGTAAATCAACTTTATCTTCTTGAAGAGCTGCTTATTCGATCAAGTTCAGAATGAGTCTGTGGCACGCCTGGAACAAGAAACCAATCCCTGCCTACACTGGCAGTATTTCCACGTACCTGAAGAAATACAGCTCAGAGATGGTGTGGGCTGTTTGGACGCTTGGCAGAAGTCAAAAGATCCTTTGGGACCAGTGGGGTAAATGAGAGAACAGCACCGCATCCGACTGCCAAACAGAGTGTTTTAACCACCACAGCAAATATTCCTATGAAGTTTTTTGGTACTAGGTGTTATTATGCTACAAGCTGAAGTACTGAGGTGTCGTTAGTTGAGACGAGCAACAAATCTTTCCAAGGTATCAAGTCAGAAGGAGATTGTGCTGTTAAGGCATTACTGGGACCTGTTCCAGGAAGTATCTTCTCTGGGGAGATCTCTCTGCCTTGGAGCAGAAGGCCTCTGTCCACAGAGAATGGCCTCTTGTAGGGGAGGAGGTGGTGCCACATTCAAAGTTGGGAGAGTCTCCTAAAAAACAAGCACTGGGCCCAGGGAATAATTCCCCCACTAGCGGCATGGTCCTACAGATCACCTACAGCAATCTGCAGCTTTCTGCCCTTCAAGAACCAGAGTGACCCTCAGTCCTCAAAAAGGGTGTGGGTGCCCATCATGAATGAGAACATCTACCTCATAAAAAGGCTGAGTGTAAGTTGTGGTATTTGAAATCTGTCATGTCTAGCAGTATGAGGAAAATCCCGGAACGGCAGACACTTTTCTGTCCATAGGCAAAAACATCCAATCTGTTTAGCTATGTAATTAATGACTGATCAAGACTGGGTAGACCATATGTTGTTAAAAAAAAAAAAAAATGCTGACTGCAGAGAAATCAACAAGAAAAAGCTGATTGCAAGTAATGTGGTTCAGCTTCCTAGGGTAAGAAAATTGTCTTCCCAAAGCCATCCAGACACCTTCCATTTTAGAAAGTCAGTATTTAGAGAGAACTGACTAGGTGCCTCAGTAAAGCTCGCAAGGATGAGGAAGAATGGAATACACATTTCTACTCTAGCAGGGAAGGTTGAAGTCTGCTAAGTAGGCAGTGATAAAGAAGCACAAGCACCACTGCCAAGGACTTCACTGGAGACAATGTGTAAAGCCAAGATTTACTTTAATAAAATGCGAAGAAAGAAGAACTTTGCTCAGTTGCAAAAGCTATCAGAACAAAATCAGTCAGGGACAAAAAATGGCAACACGCTGATCACATTCCCAGCTTCAGTCTCAATTGTATCATAAACCCATTTCCTATTGCAGCGACATTCTGGTCCACATTTGTTTGAATTGCATTTGGGGCAAGGATAGAAGCAACCCAGGCAGTTCTTTTCCAGGCAATCACACAAATCGATGTTATTACAAAGCAGCCTGCCATATTTGTCATACTTCTTTTTAATTCTGCAAAAGAGAAGAAAAAGTGATTCTCAAGGAATGCTTCAACATGTTTGAATACTAAACCGAACAAATGTGGGAAGCATCTGTCCAGGAACAAATATTTCCTTTTAACAACCTCACAGCATAATGAAATAGCAGCATTATATCCTAATTGCAACATCCACTTTTATGAAAAATGAAAGTGTGGCAAAGAAGTAAATCAAAATTCTCTGAAGTCACACAGAAAAGACTTGTTTTCCCAGCACAGCTTTCATGCGTAATAAGAAATCTCTCTGCCAAATATTAATGCCATTATTAATTTCATTTATATTCAGTAAACAGCATTTTAGCCACTTTTTTAAAGCAAAATATGTCATAAATGATCGTATCTTACTTGGGCTTATAAAAAAAATCTTGTTTCATCTGTGACATGCACGCTCTCTTTTTCTGCTCTCTAGTTTCAGGATTGAAGTCAGCTACCTGAGGTCCTGGATTTTGAAAGGCTAAGCATTTTAATTGTTTCTCAAGTTGTTGCTATGAATAAACAACAGAAAGTTTATAATTAGTATAATTAGTACAAATATTTAAGAGCTGCCAAATGTCCTTACTGTCTTTCACATGACATGAAAATTACTCTTCTTTATAACTTAAAACAACACAGGTAGGCAAATGAAGCAAAACTTGACTTAAATTAAGATCGCATTGTTTAAAATGTTTGCTTGTCTAACTGTTAATTGATGGTTCCTTCATCAGCCATTCCTATGACCAGCTGTGCATCGTGACAGGGGAGGGAACAACCGTGACTCTGGTACAGTGGTACGGAGTTTGAAAGTTGTCTTGTGGAAGGCAGAATCATGTATTTTTTTCTTCAACTTTATCCATAATGTAAAAACAAGTTCTATGATTATAAGCATCTCAGCTGGGTTTGCCCTTATCTTCACTGTTACAGAACCACAGAATCACAGAATAGTAGGGGTTGGAAGGGACCTCTGTGGGTCATCTAGTCCAACCCCCCTGCCGAAGCAGGGTCACCTACAGCAGGCTGCACAGGACCTTGTCCAGGCCGGTCTTGAATATCTCCAGAGAAGGAGACTCCACAACCTCTCTGGGCAGCCTGACTGTTCCCTCAGATGTCTAGAACCCACTTTTGTCCAAACGATCTAGGGGAAAGAGAAATGTCTGGAGGAGGAACTAGTGCAGGAAGGAAGCATTTGCACAAGTGAGGAGTATGAAAAAAGCACAGACAAAAATAAAGAAACTAAACTGAGCACAGTTTTTGAGAAATAGGAGGGAGCATTTTCTTGCCTATTTTATGGAATTCATGTTTGCAATTAGATAAAACTGAATAGTTTGGGAGGTTAAAATATCGCCTCTGTGTATTGCCATTCCACATTGTCCATGTATGTTGACAGTCGTGTTTAAAGTCAACGCAAACAAACATGGGCATTCTGTCAAGTAATTTATCTTTGGACAATGACTGTGGGCATTGAACTCACACTTTTCATTCATTGTGCAAATGCACAAACATACATACAAATTGATCTTTTCTCCTCTTAGGTAAATGGAACTGAATTGGCACCCCTCATCTTCCCTGGAGAGTGTCATTTCTTTCAGAGTTTACAATGATTTTTCACAAACAAGCGAGCGCCTTCATTGCTTCTCATGGGGAAAGCTGTGGCAGTTCAGTCCAGTCTGCTGATACACTGACTTAGAAATATCCATGCACTTGAGTGCACTTACTTACAAGGTGACTGATGCTGTGCATCTTCATTTGCATCCCCCTTAAAGCCTATAGGGCAATTTCATGCACCTACGTTATGCAGCTTTTGGGTCTGGGGTACATTTTTGGTGGAGAAAACATGCTTCAGCATCATCATCGTTCATGACCATAAATTATGCGAGTTCAAGCTGGAAACAAATAATAAGCTATGGAGATAGTCCTCCCTCTAGGAGTACTCTCCTATTTCCCTACTTCCTATTTCATGTGCTCCTGCCCATCTAAATTACTGCATTGCAAACTTGACTCATTTCACTGTTGTTATGACTGATATTTCCCTATTGACTACAGCTTTTTTTTTTTCTTTTTAATGGAAGAAATTGAAAGCAGTTGTAAGTATCTTGATAATAAAATGGTACTAGAGAAGTCATACCAATTGTTTTTGTGTTATTGAGCAGTCCTTAGCGGGAGAGACATTTCCTTCTGCAGATGTTTCCTGGGCAGAATTGCTTTTCTTGGCGTTTTCTTCCGCACGATCACTCATTTGATCAACTTTGTGAAATATATACATACATATGTGTTAGACATAGACAGAGATCCACGGGCTTCTAAGTGAATGTTTTAAGGTGAGCAGATGATATCCATACTAGGCTTTTACGTGTTCTTAACCAACAGCAAATTCAGAACAAAATGTGGCTGAGTATCCGCCTCGATTTTAAAACTGCATTAAAATAACTAACACAAACAAAAGCGGTGTCACCGAAGCCTCTCTGTTATTCATTAAGCAAACCCCAGAAAATCCCTAGTGTCTAAGTAACCCAGAAACTGAAAGAAACGCGGCCACCTCGGAATCTGTCGGTGACACCGCTCCACCGCCCTGTCGCCTTTAAGGCGGCGGCGAGGAGCGGTCTGGGGTCCGCACCGGTCGCAGACACCGCAGCGGGGGTCCCCACCGCAGCGGGGGTCCCCGCCGGTTGCAGACACCGCAGCGTTCCCTGCAGGTTCGCGGTGTTCCTCCTGCAGGCTAGCAGAAAACTTGTCGGCTTTGAAATCTCAGTCCTGAGACTGGCCAAAGATTTTGCGTAGGAACAGCAGGCGTAGCTTGCAGGTTCAACAGCAAACGGGCGCGTCGCTCTGCTAGCAAAGCACCCAGGGAGGACTGTGGGTTCTGCGAATCTGTCCTACAAATGCCATCCCATCACTTCTCCCCCGTCACACGGAGATGGTGGTGGCAGCTGTTCAGGATGGCTGTTAGCTACTTCTTCTTACCCATCCTGTGAAGCTACTCCGTTTAAACTTTTTATGCAACATATGCATTTCAGACTTTAACCACAAACACCACCATAAATACTCGAGTGGCTCTGGAGTTCCTCCAACGATTCCCCAGGTGCTGCCCAGTCTCTCCCATTACCTCTGAAAAGTAGTGCAGTGGTCTCTGCCAGGTTACCCTGCCCTTTAGGATTGTTGCCCAAACCCTGTCCCAGAGAAGATCTGCATTCCACCGCTGCCAAAGGGCCAGCACCTCTCCGAGAGAAGGAGAGGAGTCCAGGCCTTTAGTTCCCTCTGTTGCAGCCCCTACCTGCAGGGCAACAGTCAAAGTGGGAATAGCAGTGAGAAGGAAGAGGCCTCACAGTAACGGGAAGGGACACTTTTCTGAGAGGTGAGAAGAACAGCCTTCAGCCTGTTTCAGAGAGGGTTTCCCTTTCTCACCGGCAATGACCCGAAGAACGGCTGCGATTGTGACGCTATTCACAATGGAATGCTCTGCACAACAGTTTCAATGCTGGGACCTGAGCATCTTTTTAGGATTAGGAAAGGAAACTATTACCGGGCAATTAATATTTGCTCTATGACGGAGCCTCCTTTCCTACTGGAAATTTGCTAGGGATTTACAAATAAAACGAGAATGAAGGCCACTGGTCCAAAGACACTATTGCTCTTCATGTGCAATCAAGTTGGAGTCCTGACAAGGATTTGCTTCCTGCATCTCCTCTTGTGTCCAGCCATGCATCCAGCATTGTTAAAGCGCTTTATCAGCATGCACAACCATCATCCACGCCTGTTTTATTACAGTGTGCAGGGGTCAGGAGCACGACAGCCATCAGCAGCTACCAGCGTAAGCATGCAGAATTCCAACCTGTCCTCTGAATATTTGACTCCTTTGGAAACTAGGTCCTAACAGTTATCTGGAGCCAAACACTCAAAACCAGGAGCCACTTTTGAAATATTGGTAGAAAAGGAACAAGCATCTTGTTCCAAACACATTTCAAATGCCATTGCACCCCAGTGAAAACATCCTGCACAGAAAATGTAGCACTTTTCTGTCTCCATATATATTGTAAAGATACAGTGTTGAATTTTAATCTCCAGGAAAGATACTAAAAATGAGGCAGAGTGTGACTAGGAAATTGTGCAAGATTCAGAAGTTGGTGAGACTCACAGGACTAGTCATCCTCCATAGCACTTTCTGAAGGGGGACAGGGGAGCAAGTGATATTGTGAGACTCAAGCATCCACTCTGAAGCCTGCAGAACATAATTATCCAAAGGAAAGTATTCTTGTCCCTGGAGCAGAGTTTTTCTATCTACTGCTTTTGGTCTGGCTGTAGCAATAATCCATGGGCAATGCATTGAACACTTGTCTCTTCCATAAAAATCTCAACTCTGAGGAGAACCATCAGCTGTACTCTTCCTCCGCCAAAACTTGTGTTCTCCCACACCTTTTGAATACAGCAAGTACTTCCTGGAGGTGATCATGCACATCTCAACATCCCACTGTGGCCATAGCATATGGCTGAGAGCTGGCAATTTCAGCACAGCCCCTTGGCACTGCTGACAAGGCTAAAAGCAGCTTAAGGGATGAAGAAAATCAGAGACCTTGTTATATTAAAACAGACTTGGTCTTATCCAAGAGACAGATGTTTCTGCTCAGAGAACAGTGTCAGAATATGTTTGGATTTGGAAAGAACTGCATTTGTTTATGATTTTCATAACAGAAATATTTTCCTGTATCTGCTCTTTCAAGAATTTAGTATTCCTATTTATGATCCTTGCAGATTGCACTGCTAAACATTTCAGCTGGTGTGAAATGCGGTGACAGCATTCCAGATACTTCAGGCTGCTTGACCTCAGCAGGCTAAAACCAGTATCTCTGCAGGGCTTGCCAGCCTGAATGCACATTGTTTTCAAGTTGTGTTCGTTCATGCCACTAGAGACTTTCTGGCTGAGATCTGTAAGCATGTTCATTACTTTCACCAGGGCAAGACAAGATGGCGTCCCTGTGGCTTTAATCGCCCTGTGCCCGCGTGGATTAGACTGACCCATTGCAATAGTCCTCTCTTGCTCAACCTAGTTCTGCAGAGATGACTGTGGGCTCAGAAACCAGCAGTCAGGTTTGTGACACATTCACGTATGCATCTTGAAATCTTTACAGGACATCTGGTGCCAGCCAAATTAAGAACGAGAATAAACCAATGTTCCTCAGAATCACCTATGGACTGGGCTGTAAAGGTGTGGAAAGGCCACTTATGAGCTGGTCCGTGCCTTCTCTTATAATCCCAAATGTGCAGGTGTGTTCAGAAGATGGCCTTGAAGCCAGCGGGGAAACACAGACCAGATGAAGAAATAGTTGTCATCTCCTGTAAATCAGCTGGTTTCCCAGAAAACTGATAAAAATAGTGACAGAGCAATGGCATATTCTGTGACAGGAGTCTGGAGAAGCAAATCCCACCTTCTCCCAGTAAAAGAAAACAAATCCTCATGAGTTTTCCCTCCCAAACCAAGAGTCTTTCTGCTGTATCTGAAAGTGAGGGATCCTTCAGCTGAACTCTAAGAGATAATTATAAAATCATGTGATTCTTCTGGTTGTCGTGCAATAGGCAGAAGAGGTCTGCCAGACTTACCTTCTGAAAACCTGCAGTTCTGAAGGGTGTGTGTTCAGCTCAGAGCAGACAGCAAGAGAGAAAGGAGGGTCTCCAGAATTTTAAATTGCACGTACCGAAGGAAGGGGCTGGCACAGCGTAGGTCTGCTCCTGCACAGTTACTCTGATAGTGGAACTATGACATCAGTCCCAGGGTGACTGAAACAGAAGACAAATAATCAAAATAATGGTCCCCAGAGGAGCAGGCTGAAGACAGTGCCAGGTAACTGTCTTAAAGGACCTCACACTTTCTGTCTCATTAATTATGGCTTTTAAATAGTACTTAGCAAAAAGAGTGGAAATAGAGGAATGATATAAACTGGGATGAGAGTCCTCACTTATTACTTGCCTCTGTGGTATGTCCACAGAGCAAATGTATTTCTTAGAGCTTTTTTTCTTGAATTTAATTTAAAAAAATCTAACAACTACTGCATTTTACAAAAATTAAGATTTTTTTTAGGACATGGGTGTATTAAAGGATGTAGTAAAAATGTTACCACTTTAGAAAAAAAGTTCTGGATTCTGTTCACCATGTCCAACAGTCAGAAGTCACCAAATAAACATGTTCCCCAATAGCTGAAATGACAATGCAACCTTACAGTTTAGCTTGCTGCCGTTCAGGATTGTTTGTTGTACTAGTGGAGAAAATCAGACTCCTCCTGATACCTCCCGATACTGATTTCCAGTACGCTGCAATCACTTATGGCTTTCATTACTCTTCCCTAGAACACAGCTAAATTCTAATAAACATCCAAAATTGTCAAGTCTTATAAATTCTCCTCTTGTGCTTAGACAAATAGTCCAACTTGTCTTTTTAATCTTCATCAAATGTATCCATCCATCCTCTGAGGTATTTCACAACCCAGTCTGAGGGCAAGTAAATTTATTATTTACCATATTATTTTCTTTCCCTCCAAACACTTTCAGAACCAAAAGCTGATGTAGCATTCTATCAGCAGACCTTAGCTAGGTGATTTAAATGCTGCTATACATACCTTCATTTTGTTCCACAGACTGTTTTGCTTGTCATGAAAAATAAAACAGAAATCCCTCATGGGAAAAAAAAATTCATGATCTCCAAGGTACTCATACAACAGCAAGACACAAACAAAAACCTACAACCTGTTTTAGTCTCCTGTATTTTTTCCAATGTTCTTCTGATTTCTCCTTGTTCTACATAGTGGAGAAAACAGGAATTATTAGCTCTATAAATATAAAACTTATAATTAAGCCACCTTATGCTTAATATCTCCTTTTCTTCCATTTTGCTAGTGCTTACACCTGTGTCTCTGAACTTTTTCTGAACTGTTTGTGCATGAGTTCTGGTATTTGTTTATCATGGCATACATGATAACCTGCAGCCTACAATCTACTCAGAATAGTTTTTACTGAATGAATCACAAGTAAGTGAGTATGTACATGTAGATTAAAATCTTAGGTGACATTTAGAGAGATTGATTCTGGTGGTGAAACGCCTAATGGTTCCTACAGGGACAAGTCCTCCCCACAATAAGCATGTGACTATAAATGTGCCTCAGGAGATATGATACAAATGTCCCTGCCATTTGGGGGGGTGGGGTAGAGAAAAGCAGAAAAATGGTTACAGATTCGTTAAATTTCTTTTAA